TGTCTACATGAACAACAAACAGTCAGAAGAACAGCACGGGGGTCAGCACCCAAGCACGGCACACGGCACACATGCCAGGGCGGATCCACGAGGAGATGGATGGGGGTGCAGGACAGAAAAAAGGGAGCAAGGGCTCTTCCAGAGACCCAAGACGATGTGCCTGAGACGGGGGAGGCTCTCCCAACAGAATTCAAAGGGGAAAACCTCAACCAGGTTTGGAGTCAGAAAACTCAGGAACGAATGCTCCCATGAACCTTTCTGGCTGTGGGCCCTTCAGCAGATAATCTGACGGCCTCCCCTTCCCCACAGTGGAAGGCACATACGAGCCCTGGCTGGTGTGGCTCAATGGATTGAGTGCCAGACTGCAAACCAAAGGGTTGCTAGTTCGATTCCCAGTCAGGGCACATGCCTGGGTTGCAGGCCAGGTCCCCAGTAGAGGGCACATGAGAGGCAACCACACACTGATGTTTCTCTCCCTCTCTTTCTCCTTTTCTTCCCCTTTCTCTAAAAATAAATAAATAAAATCTTTAAAAGGAAAAAAAAAGAAAGAAAAGCACATACAAAGAGTGGCCCCGGGTGGCCCTGTGAGCATCCAAGGAGAGTTATGTCGACAGCCTGAGTCTGGGACACAGCAGAGCTTTCGGGTGGCAGGTAAGGACGCAGATCTCTCTTCTGTAAAATGGGGTGATTGCGTGACAATCATTGGGGTGAGTTTTAAATGAGACAGGACATGGGAAGGACAGAAAGCGCAATGATGACCCTGTTTGATCGACACAGGGAAAGAGGCCACGCCCTTCAGGGAGCCCGTGCTTGTACCAGGCGCTGTGCGGGGGTCTCCACAACAGCTCATCACAGTGGGCAGGGCTCACGGAGCCCATGCACAGGGGAGCCGCACTCACCCCTGACCCCGGGGCACCTGCGCCGTCCTGGGCACAGCCTGCGGGACCAGCGGGGATGTCAGGCTGCCCTTACGTGGCAGCCCTCTGGAGGCACACGGGGCCCTGCAAACGCACATATACATTTCTTTTTTAATTCTTCTGTTGCAACAAACAGTTTAAAAAAAAAAACCCTGGATAAGGCAGGTTACCAAAAAGGAAAGAAAAAGCAACTGCCACATGCCCAGGACCCTCCACTGGGCAACAAAATCTTCATTTTCCCAACAAAGAGCACATCTCTCTCACTTTCTGTAACTCCAGGGAGGGCACAAGGCTGTATGTGACGGTCACATCACAATGTGTCACTGCTGTCCTTAAAGTGGCCCCCTCCTCTCTGCCGTGAGCCCTTGTGTCTGGGGAAGACTCAGGGGCACAGGTGCACCACGGATCCCTGGGCGGCGTTTTGTTGCAGGTGGGCCCCCAAGGGCCCCCAGCCTCAGGAAACCCCTTCCTGCACAGCACCGCCTCCTCTTCCCCCGATCGTGCCCCTGAAGTGCACCCCTACCAGAGGGGTACAAGGTCAAAGGGATGCCTTGCTGACTGCTTATAAATAGTTGCCCCGAAAGACCAATCTATGCTGTCACGAGCAGTGGGGAATGTGAGCCAAGCTCCCCACAGATTCTGAGAATGAGGTGCAAACCCCTCAGATGGGCCGGGCGCAGAAGGCAGGGAGGTCCTTGGGTGCCTTTGCTTTGGTTTTCCCCTTCCGCTCCCCAGCCCTGCACCACCAGCCTGCCGATTCCTTAAACGCCCACTTCCCCAGGCCCGTGGTCGCCGAGACACCGTGTGCAGTGAGGACTCACAGCACAAGGCCGTTCTTCCCGTGAAGACCCTGGCTAGGGAGTCAGGATTGCGACAGGAGAAGGAGTGTGGGATAACCGTGGAAGAACAAAGTGGAAGATGACAAGACAAGACAGTCAGAGGCGGATTGAGTGCGGGCAGTGTGAGCTCTGGGTGCAGGACAGCAGGTCACTGTGGCTGCAAAGGACAGTCCTCCGAGAGCCCATTTGGGAAAATGGCCATTGGGGCAGGCGGCAGGTGGGTGGGCAGTATTTAGGACTGGGGGGGGGCGGTGGCCAAAGCCTGCAGTGGGGAGGAGGGGCGCTTGCTCAGTGGCCAGCAAGGAGCCCCTTGATGGTAGAACAGAAAGAAAGCTTCTGGGGGGCCTGGGAGGGGGTGTCAGGTCCAGAATTTTGAGGATCTCGAATGCTGGGAAGGGATGAGTGAAGCCTTCTTGCAGCCAAGGAGAAAGCTTTACGGGAGGCCAGTCTGGGGGCGGCCCTTAGAATGCACTGGAGAAAGAACCCAGTTAGGAGCTCCTCTAAAAGTTACATCTTGGAGGGAGGCAGGAGGTGCCAGAGCTTTCAGATGTCACCTGCTGCATGGCAGACATCACCAGTCCATCAGAGCCCAGATGCTACCTCTGGCCACTCGGGACCCCGGGCAGACCCTACCAATCGCTCCCAGGCGGCAGTTCCAACCTCTTTGCCTTGCAGGGTTGTGTCAGTCAGGAACAGCAATATTACGCTGCACGAACATATATTCTCAAATTTCAGTGGCTTAAAACAGGTAGAATTCATCGCTCACTCAAACCACATGTCCATCACAGTCGGACAGAGATGGCACCCAGAGCTAGCACCACCCAGGCCCGGCCCACAGGGGCACAGCCGGGCACAGGACCGAAGAGAAAGAGAGAGAGTTGCTTGCTGGCATTTTGGCGTGAAGGCCAGGGGCAGCCACCACTGCTACTCACTCCCCGTTGGCCAGAGCCGGTCACAGCGGGCACCAAGCACAGTCCTGACCTCCAGAAGGCACAGAGTCAGGAGAAAATAAAAGGCTTAAATACATCAACTTTCCGGGCATGTGGAATTTATCATTCATTCATTCGACCAGCGACAATGTATTTTAAATTGTCTTGGGACTTTTACTGAGTGTCAAACACCCTAAAGCATTACCATTTCCTTTGGGCCCCTTTAACAACCCTATGAGGCAGGTGTCCTTATTCCCATGTTGCCAAAGAGAAATCTGGAACCCAAGGAGGCAGAGATACCTGGATAGCAAACGACCCTGGCTGCGTGGCCCACGCTCTAAGCCACTGCCGCCACCCTCCCCACCTCCCAGTGATTTGCTCACAGGCCAAGAGAGGAAGGCAGGAATTCTAGAAGCATTAAGGCTCATTGGGTAAGCACGGGGGTTCTGAAGGCAAGCTGCCTGGGCGGGCCTCCTGGCTCTGCACTCCTTAGCCATGTGACCCTGAGCGAGTTACCTTGCTGTGCCTCCGTCTCCTCGTCTGTAAACTGCCATGATGCTAATAGCACCACCAAGCTCAACACGAAGTCGTGACAACCAAGGGCAAAAAAAGGCAGGTAGAGCAAAGGAAGCCATCTCCAGCCCAGCATCAGGAGCCAAGAAAGAAATCCCAGCTCTGACATTAACGCGATCACCTTGCTACTAGAAGGACGTTGTCCAAAGGTCATGGGTCTCTAAACCCGAAGGTCAGAGAATTTCCAATATGCTGCTCAGCCTCCCGGGTGCAGGGGGCTGCTGCATCGCAGGCAGGGAGAGAAGCCGCTTAGCCCTGCCCGAGGCGTGCCCCGCACCCAGCCACTCCTGTTACTTCCTTCCGAGGACGTGGCCCTGTCTGACATGCCTTTCTTGTGCGTGGACCTGTCATCTTGCTTACCGCCTCTCTCCCCCACTCGAACCTCAGCTCTGTATTTGCCTTATTGAGAGCGTCAGCAGACACCTGTGATATCAGTCATGCTGGGGGCAGGGGCTTCACCAGTCTTATTCACTGCTGTTTCCCCGCTGTCTGTGCACAACGCCCAGCGTACAGTAGGTGCTCAGTGTGTGCTGAGACGTCTGCCAGCTGATCACACCTCAGGTGCAGGTGAGCGACTCGGCACTTCTTCCTCTGCAATGGAAGATGCTGAAGACGGACGGGCCTTGTCACGTGCAATGCCTACTGGGTAGTGGTTTCCACCCTGAGACCCCCCACAACCTTTCCCCTCTCCCCTCAGTTTTGAGACGAGCTTGAGGACCCAGGGACCAGAGGGAAGAGAAGTCAATGTGAAAGAGAGATGAGGAGCAGACCATCTCTGGGGGTGTGTTACAAGCCTGTGCACACTGGCGCACACTGGTGCACACTCCATGCCCTATAAATGCTGTGCACTAGTCTGACTCTAACAGAAACTTGACCTTGAGACAGTAATTCTCCTTCTAGGCCTCGGTTTCCCTGTTGGTAAAACCTGAGCATTGAAGAAGAACATTCCTAAGGGCCCTTCCAGATCGCAAGGCTGAAAACAAGCAGTCTTCTAGGGCTTCATTTCTCAGAGCTGGGTCCGGGGTGGGAGGGATTTTCCCAAGCTCTGGAACGCCTGGCGTACAGCGTATCAAATGTATGAAACACCTGTCTGCATCCTGCCTTAGAAGTAATTCCTGTGTGACTGCATACTCGAGCTGCCTCCGACAAGCTGCTCTCGAGTTATATAAATGTGTATTACTTTTGCAGCGTTCCAGCTTTGTTTTCATATTTTGAAACTAGTCATTGTATCTGCTCTCAAAGTTGTTTGTGAAATCCTGAGAGGTCCCAGGCACTGGGCCTCTCCTGCCCTCCTGCCGAGATGCAGGGTGAACACGCCCTTTTCCAGGCCCCACCCAGAGCCCAGGGGGTAGGACGCCTGGTGGGGGAGCTCAGGGATCTGAGTTTTCGCAAGCTTCCCAGGTGATCATTTGCAAACTGAAGTTCGAAAACCACTGCCATAAAAAGAAGCCGAGAACAGGGCAGGGGGGCTGGGAGAAGGCGGACCAGAGGGCACGGGGCACGGCTCCTGTTTTGCATGCCTGCAAATCTCTTCTGCCCACGTGTGCCCAGTCCATCGTAAACAAACTGCAAAACGCTGACTCACCCTCAGCTGGCCCCTCCCCGAGAGACCTGGGAAAAAAAAATCAGCCATACTCACATTCAGCCCCAGATGGCATGCAACTACTCTGACTTGCAGGAATAGAACGTTTCCAGCAGAATGGGCACACGGCTCGAAGATGGAAGCCACCGCTGCCAGGGGCCGAGCTACAGGGAGGAACAGAAATAGCGCCGTCACTTGGACTGTTTGCTGCGATTCGTTCTACCTTTGGTCGGTGATGGATGGCGGATCCCAGCAAGGACCCGTCTCAGCTGATCCAGAGGAGGGAGGTTCTGTTTCATGGTGAGCCAACACTCAAAAGGGCTGCACTTGTGTTCGTGCGTGCACACACACATACACACCCAAACATTACGCATGCAGGTGTATTTAAGCTTCTGCCATGGTTAGGGATGCAGCCCAGACACCAGAAGCCATCTATGTGATGTTGAGTGTGACCCGGTGCCAGGAAGGTACTGGGCTAAAAAAGCAGGTTGGAAGAGAAGGAACGGATAAGAAGGGCCAAATACTGAGCTGGAGTTTTCCAGGGCAAATTTCCCATCCACCCATCCCAGAGAACACTGTCAGTCCCATTGTCCTGGTGAGGAAACCAAGACCTAGAAAAGATCTGTGACTTCCTCGAGGTCCTAGGTTCAAACGCTGAGCTAGCCAACCCCCAAGTTCACATTCAAGGCTTTAGGCCGGCTGCCTTAAAGTTCACAAGCGGTGAGCACAGCATGGGGAGGGGGGTCTGCTGAGAGAGAGGGAAGCCTGCAGAAACTGACCTTGCCAACCACTGAGAGAACCGAAATTATTTCTTCACAATTTAATTCACAAGCAATAAGTGGTCATCAGAAATAATAAATCACAGAAGTCACAGATAAGCAATAAGAAAAAATAAATAAAACGAACCACATGTAATCACATGTTCCCAAAATTGTGTTGTTTCTACTTCTAGGCTTTTTTTTTTTCCTAGCCAAGTTCATGTTTTTCCTAGCCTACAAATAAAATGATGCAATTTTTCGCAATGTATCCAAAACTGTTATGATCTTGCTGTTTGTATGTGGGTAATTGGAGATGTTTGACCAATTCTGATCTGTGAACGTATGTCAAAACCATGACATGTGGTTGCAGATTCTAAAGGGGAGGGAGCAAACCTTTCACTTCTTTTTTGTTTGTTTCTTGCTGTTCATCAGCCACGAATGCATTTCAGAAGGCTTCGAGAGTGTTCTGTCTAAATGCCAGGCTCTGGTGGACCATGCGGCCTTGGGGGAAAAGAAGGGCAAGCTGGCTTCCTCCTCCTCATGGATGAAAACAGAGAGTAAGCTTTGTAGCAACTGAGAAAATGATTTTTTTTTTAAATGTAACAATGCCAAGGGGAAATGCAGCTCTACCATGCACGCAGAAGGGTCTGGGATCAGACCTCCCACAGCACCCCCCCCCCCTCCGCAGGGGACAGCCCTCCGAGTGCCCCTCCCAACACCCCCTGGTTGGGAGAGTGAAAAATAACCTCCTTTTCCTCCCTTTGGTGTTAACGGGGCTCCCTGTGGAGATGCAGTTCATCACATCAATTAAGAGACTTACACTTGGCCTTGCCTGCCAGGCACGGGCCCTCTGTCCAGGGAAAGGTGGGTGAGGTACGTCGTGCCCGTCATGAGATCATTTCTCGTTTTTTAATTTTTTCCTTCTCACCTGTGTTTTTCCTCACTATGTATGTTTTTTTTTTCTTTCAGTCAGGCATAATCAACACATAATGAGAGGTCCAGATCTTAAACGAACAGCTTGGTGAGTTTTGACAAATGCATGTACGAAAAACGCCGAACCACCGAGACGCAAAGAACACGTCCCCCACCCAGAGTGCCCCGGGCCCTTCCCGCCCAGGTCTCTGCTCTCCACCGCCCAGAGGCGGCCTCGCACCAGTGATTGATTGCACATTCTCAGAAAGTCACATAAATGGAATCATGTTCTGTTTGAAGAGGAGTGTGGATGATGGGCAGGAACTGGCAGTGCCTGGTGGGAGTGAAACAATAGTGGAGGTGCCTTGGGAAGCCGTCTGGCAGGTCCTCAAAAAGTTACACGTTGGGCTGCCACATGCCTCCGCAATTCCACTCCGAGGTGCACATACTCAAGGAAAATGGAAATACACACAAAATCTTGTGCGTAAACTTGCAGAGCGGCCTCATTCATAACGACCAACATATGGATGCAGCCCAATGCCCATCAGCTGATGAATGAACCAGTACAATGTGGTGTTCTATCCATGCAATGGAACATTTTCAGGTGTAGAAAGGAATGCTACATAGAAACTACAGACATTGGGGGGAGGGAGAAGAGGGGAAGTTGGGACAACTGCAGGAACACAGACATAACTGAGACATCATGGATGAACCTTGAAAACACCGTGTTAAGTGAAAGAAGCTAGTCACGAAAAACCACAGACTGTGTGATTCCTTTTACATGGAATGTCTAGAATAGGCAAACCCACCGTGGCAGAAAGTAGATTACTGGATGCTCAGGATCGGAGGGTACGATGGGGCTGGGGAGGCAGCAGCTAAAGGGTCCAGATTTTTCTTTTTTGAGGTGGTGACAACGTTGTAAGATTGGTAAATTGTACCGTATTCGAATTAAATCTCAACAAAACTATTTAAAAAAACCAAACATTCAGAATCAACAAAAGCAGAACCAGTTGTGATGCATGGAAAACCATTTCCTTCTGTGGAATTTTAATTGAAGAGTGCTGGGTTTTGTGGCGCAAGACGCACCCCCCGTGCCACCTGAGGAGCATAATTGGTGTCCAACAGGGCTCCTTCCCAGGACAAGGTCATGGGGTTTGCTGCTTTTCCCAGAGGTCCCTGTGCTGTCTCCAGAGTCTAAACTCTTTAAGAGTCTAGGAGCCATTCACCAGATCCGCTCATCCCCCCACCAGTGTTTACGACGTTCACGGTCAGGAGGAAGCACATGGCCATAGCTAGTCTTTCATCGTCTGTCCCTGTGCTCAGGAGCCTGTGCTCTGAAGGCCACGTCGCAGGCCTGTGTGTGTCTGGTCCTGTGGTCAGCAGGGCGCACTGGGAGCCTGGGGAGGGGGAGTGATGGGAGCCCCTTGAGGCAGAAAGGCCAAAAACTCTGAGGCCCCTGGATTGTTTCTGGACCCGGAGTCTACCCTCATGAATGCATGACTTCAGCTCTCTGTGCCTTGTGGCCCTCGCCTGCAAAGGCCAAAAAGCTGCCTTAGAAAAACCATTCAGAGCCCCAGGATTGGGAACCGAACCCCATCTTTACCACTTCCAAGCCCCGTGTGACTTCAGGCCGATTCCTCCACCTCTCTGCACCTCACTCCCCCACGTGCACCGCGGGGGGGTAACCACGAGAACGGCAGTAATATGCAAGGGGAGGTGAGCTCGCACCTGGAATCCAGGAGTCAGCACGCTCCTAGGGGCCCAGGCAGGAAATATGTGAGGCATCGTGGGTCACACCAGCTCTGTCCCAGTTACTCGTCTCCACCATCGCAGCACAGAAGTCAGCACAAACTATGTGTAAAGAAGGGCCATGCTGTGTTCCAATCAAACTTTATTTATGGGCACCAAAATTCCATTTCCTATACTCCTCGTGCATCACAAAATACGGTTCTTCTTTCGAAGGTCAGCACTCGGGACAGTGCCCGGCATAGGCTGAGCACTCCCGAGCACCCGTGCCACATGCCAGGCAACAACGCCCCACGTTAAATTGTGTGCTGTGCCCTCCCAGCGCCATATCCCATTTAAATCTCACCTTCACTGTGCGAGGCGGGTAACGCCAAAACTCCGACCAGAGCTTGAAGCCTCAGGGGAGCAGAGTGGCTGAGCCACAGCTGATGCAGGTCTTCCGTGGGCCCTTGCTTCTGACCACCGCAACATACAGTGCTGGCCGCCCGGACACCACGGGGAACCCCACCCACTCAGGCTCAGCTCCAAACACTATGCATCGTGGTTTAATTAGTCAGAGACACGTGTTACAGAAACCGAGGGCTGGAAGGGGAAGCACGGGGCATCACAGTCCCCGGGGACGGGGTCCTCTGAAAGGGGGACATGTGGGCTGAGAACAGCCATGTGCCTGGTGCTGTTCCACATGCCGAAGGGGAGAGGCTGGAAAGGGTGGTCCATGCAGATTCCCGGCTGCGCAGACTCAGGACATAGTGGTTGGTGGAAGGAGAGACTGGTTAGTGCTTTGGAGGAAAAGAAGTATAGCTGGTGCCCAGATGGGGTGTTCCACGCTCCCCAAGGGGGTCTGACTGGTAACATGGAATCGCTATTTATTCATTCAGCCAAAGCGTCCCGAGGAAGAGTCCGTCGCAAGCCAGGGACCGGGTGATGTCCTGGACGGCGGGGGTAGATGAGGCAGAGAGCTCGCGTTCCACAGGGAAGTGGGCAGGTGCCCACGCCAGGGCACTCAGTGGTCAGCTCTGCCCCCACACCGCACAGGGGCCGTCAGCTTGAGTGCAGCCTCGATGACACTTTATAGGCGCTCAGCTAATGATCTCTCACACAGCAGGACTCCCGGTAGCCACCGTGGGACTGGTGTTTGGGCTTACAGCGAGGCTGGTAACTCCACACGTACACCAAAGTGGGTAGGTAACCTCTCCAGGGTAACCTCTCCAGGTAACCTCGCCGATCTGGGAGGGTCGGCGAAGGTACGGAAAGTGCTCTGCAAGGGTACAGCCCCCCCACACAACTGGGGTAGTTTAATGCCAAGGTCCGAGCCCCTTTCTCCAAGGGCTGACAACCTGGAATTTAAATCATGACGGACGCCGAAGCGTGGGGAGGAGGACATGTGGACGGCTGGAGGCCTGGACAGAGGAAGGCAGCGAGCAGCGTGATTGCAAGCCCCGGAGCCCCGGCCGGACTCACGTCCAACGTGCCGCCCAGCTCGGCCAGCATAGCGCACCGGGCCATGTTTGTGACCCCCAAGGACAGCCTGTATGTTTTAAAGGAGAAAAAATTTTCTCTGCAAGGTTTGTACACCTACGTTAAAGGGAAGCAGGTAGGTTCTAAACTGCCTTTGTAAGAAGGTCCTACAGCCTTGAAAAGAAACCTTATCTACCTCCCTTTGATACAGGAGGAAGAGAAAGGCATCCCAGATAGGTGGGTGCGAGTTTGAATGCTGGGCCCGTGCCCTTTTGTAAATTAATTGCTGCCTCCGAGTGTCGGGGCAGTGATCTCTCTCCTGCTGATGACAGTCAGAGCAATAGATGGACACAGCACAGATACTGGGTACACGGCAGCGGCTTGTTCTCAGTGAGAAGACGACTCAGGGCACTGACAAAGCAATGGGGCCGCATTGCCCAGAAGCTGTGCCTTTTGGGGGAACATCAGCTCGTGTTGGAAGTCGGGGCGGCCCAGGGTGGTCTGGCCACCCAGAGCCAAGCCAGGCCTCAGCTCACCCTGGAAACAGCGAGGCGAGGGCACCGTGTCTCTTTCTCTCTCAGGGACGTGGGAAAGATGAATGTGACCAAAAATCCAAGCGTGAGACGGGCCCGGGCTTGGCGCCCCTGTGAGATGCCGGGTGCGTGTGAGCAGCAAGCACTCGATGTTCCTGGGAGGGGAGAGAGCACGTCTTACGCAGGCGGTGAAGACCGTGCCGCGGGAGGCAGCGGCGGGCAGCCAGGAGGCAGGCCAGCAGCGGAGGCAGTGCACGGGGCTTTCCATCCAATCACCCAGGGCCACCGGCTGGGTGTTCACACTCCAGGTCTGCCCCTCAGTTTCAGTGGGGCAGGGTGGGGCCCTGGGGAAATCTGCTTTTTACTAGGACCCACTGGTACCTCCCAAGGCAGGCGTGGGGACCCTGCTGGGACGGAGAAGGCACCAGGTGCTGGCCTTAGAAGGCCTCGCTTCAAGACCCTGCTGGGCGCCAGCTCTTAGGTCCAACTTAAAACTTCGCTGTGAAACACTGGGACCAGGCCCAGGGCAAGGCAGGCCAGGACTTCCCTGCAGCCTGCAAACATATGTATAGAAAAGGAAATGTCTTTATGAACTATGCACTAAATATATATATACACACACACCCCTATATATACATTTATACACACAAATACAGACGCACTTTAGGTATATGCACATACCTTTGTAAACACACATATTCACGTATACACATGTGTATGTGTATATATGCATGTGTATATATGTACATGTGTATGTGTATCTGTGTACACATACATACCTGCAGGAATGCATATGCGCATGCACACATAGTTCAGTTAACCTTCACACACGCCCTGCCCTAGTACCGATACCACCCCCAACGTCCTGTGGAAGCACCTGGGGCGCGGAGAGAGTAAGAAACTTGCCTAAGGTCACACAGCTCGGCAGAGGCAGAGGCGGGATCCGGAACAAGATAGGCTGGCTCCAGGATTCCTGAGCACACTCCCTGCATTACAGCAGATAACCCCGGACGTTAAGGAGAGTGGAGACAGAGAGTCATAAACACAGAAAGAGACTTGCGCCCCGGGCGGGGGACCGAGTCGGCGATGTTTGCGGAGAATCCCTCCCCCTGCGGTGCAGCTGTTTCTCCAGCTGAAAGTGGATTTCTCCCGCCATTGGATTTGGCTGGGCCACTGCAGTCTGGTGCCGCCACTGAGGCAGCAGACGTGGGAGCGAAGCCACCTTGGCCAGGCGGCCTCAGCAGGGCTGCCTGTGAAGGCGGCCACAACTTCCTCCAGATCTCCCCAAGTGGCGCGGAAGAACCGCCTGGCAGGACTCAGCCACACGACGTGACGAGGAGAAAACAAACAGCCCTCGTCTCAGACCACCAAGGGCCGGGGTGGTTTGTGGTGCAGCACCTTCGAGTGACCGCTCTGGGTGCCTGCGTGGCGGCTTGCAGTCAAGCACCCACGATGCAACAACCAAGAGGACTGGTCGTGCGCTGGGTCAGTGTATTCAGTGCTTTGCATCTATTGTCCTGTTGAGTCTTCACTGCCACCCGCGTAGCAGATCCTCGTATTGTTTCCATTTGCCTGGCAGAGAAACCGAAGCCCAGTGAAGTACGTGAATAACATAAGCGCTGGCAGTTCTTGGATTTGGCCCCCGATCTGACTCATTCTGAAGTCTGCATGTGTTTATCAGGTTTCTCCCGAGAAACAGAACCAACAGGACCATGGCTAAGCCTAGCAGACACCTTCGAGGTGTCACCATCACAGGGCATTTCCCCCACATAGCCGCACCTTCCCAACCCACAGTTATGATCCCCCTTAGGGACCACACAATTAGCAAAATAAAGGAGCACCCCCACTGCAGCCAGAGGCTGTCAGTTAAACTGTGGGTGCCTAAAGCAGGGGGCAAGAGGCTACCAGCCACACTAAAGCCGCTCAGGAATAAACCCAGAGCACAAAGTCAACCAGCACGGCTGAAACCGACCACTGGCGTCTCTGTCAACAGGAGACAGGGCCAGAATGGCAACACGGAACATGCACTGGGAAAGGAGGGAGGATACCACAGCTGGTTGCATACCTGGCTTCACCCACAGACGGCTGTGAGGCCTTGGCCCGCACTTCACCTTGCTGGGCCTCAGTCCCCACGGAAGCTTGGTGATCCCCAAAGAACTGTCAAGTTCTTTCTATGGTTCTCTTTAGCTTCACCTCGGCCTCAGCATGTACTTCTAACAGGGGGAAGGTC